TCATTAATTTTGTCAGCCATTGCTGCTAAACGGGTTTAGATCTTCATTGGAAGCAGCAAGAATTATTTGTATGTTATTAGAGGGATTATTTGTATGAAAGCCATAGTGACTTCAACAAGTCGTCACTAAAATGGTTTCCTGCCAGATCACACATTCGTGTACAGCAAGTATGAAGGGTCGCTGATCACCATGTTCAAGTCCTTTGTAGTAAAGTAACGTATTTTTGAAGATTCACTTTCTGAATAGATTTCAATGAGCCTGCTGTTTCAGTTTGGAAGTATTTGTCCTACAATCAGGTGGTTTGAGAATTAAGTCATGCACTGAATTCAGAATATCAGACTCAATTGCTGCAACTACATGGTTGAATTTTGTAGAATCCTCACTAATGCGAGCGATAGAAAAATTGTGCTTTGATCTGAGTTGAACCACAATGAAGGATTATTTTTCCAGAAAGGCGGTGGCTTCACCGCAACGCGTGTGATTTGTGGCTCTGGTTGGAATATCTTCGGGCATATTGATAAGATAATTTTCACTTTAAATGATTAAACACTTACCAGCACAAATATTTGTAGCATGGAAGATACACTATTGATATTTTACCATGATAACAATTAATCTTTAACCATGCAGAAAAAAAATTACGTAACGATACACACACAAATAATATAGGGTCAGCAATTACACATACAAATAATATTTTATCGAAATGCATTTGAAAAGGAAAATCCTATTTGAGAAAAAAAATGATGCGTTCACTTTTTATTGCACACACACACAAAAATCAACCACTATTCACTGTTGAAGGCACTATTACCGAAGGAAAAATGAAATCACTTCTGTAAGCACATGGGAAAAAAATTCATTACTTTCGAACACTGAGGAAAAGAATCATTGCCGTAGCACGTTTGCAAAAATATTACTGATGTAGAACATTTAGCGAAAATCACTGTTGTAGCACATTTGTCACAAAAGTTGAATGATCGAAGAATTGATTGCACGACTGGCGAAGTCAAGTCAGCGGAACGGAACAAGATCACATTGACGATTTTGCTAAAGCTCGTTGCTAAGATGATATGCACGACTTTGAAAAAAACACAAGCAATATATGTACATCAATTACTTCTAAGAAATAATTGAAGGGGATACGTTGTAGCATACGTTTTAATGTCCATATTCGTTGTTATTTTTAGTTCAGTTCTTCATCAGAACGCCTTGCAGATGCATGTGGCTTACAGGGCCCGTTGAAAATTCCATTCTCAGTTGGCAGCGTGCTCAGTCAAAAAGGTCACCACTTTTGGTGGTCGTGTGTGCTTATTGCATGATATAATTTTAAGGAAACAAGAGTAGACAATTTCAACTGTAACAAAAGAATATATTAAGTACTAAATTACAATTTAAATTACATTCCAGAGATCAACTCAGAGCTCGGAACACAGTTCGTGCTAGCGTCGCGTACACTTGTCCGACGAGAAGTCTGAGTGAGTAAAGATGTCGCTTTGCTGCTCCGATTAAGAACTGGATTTTACACGTGGCGCCATCTCATGAATAGAAGTTGAAGTATCTGTCGGAAAGCCACAAAAATTTCCATCAAATTTTATTAGCATTGGTGACTTCAAACTTTCCATTTTGAAAACAAAACACTTCTGACAACTATATAAAATAAAAAGGGTGTACTTTTAACTATCTAAACTATTTATTTATAAACATAGAATTCTAAGCATTTTACAGACCTATAACCTTGGCATATTTCTATTTTTACATACTTCCAATCTGTTCCCATTCACCAATTACTAAATTCTAAATGTTACAAGTAGAGGAGTTCATTTCTTCTACTGTGCTTCTATACTTATCCACTGGAAGTATGTGTGTAATTGGTAAGTCTTAAATATTTCAGCCCAAAGAAAGTCTCAATTTGGAGGTGGAAAGGGGAAAAAATTGGGAGATCTGGTGGATGTGAAATCTCACATGGTATTTCCAGAAATAAAGTATTTTTGTAAACACTCCAATTTATTTGAAAAAAAATAAAAAAATTACAGAATAAAATTCCTCATTCTGTCTCTTGTAACCAAGAAAAAGAAGTGAACTGAACTTAATTTCATGCAGATGTCAGTATGAGAAAATTTTAAGCATTTTTCTACCGACTTCTTTCATCTTTGCTTTAGCCATCTGATATTTGCACAGCTTCTGGTTGAGAATCCTGAACTGATTATTTGAATCATAATCTTTTATATTGTTAAACCAATAAGAACCAGTGTAAGTTGCATAAATTTGTAGAACTATTGTTTGAAGTTCGAATAAAATCTTCTTTAGCTGCAGCAAGGAAAATGAATCATGGTCATTTTAATGTCTGCGCTGCCCAGACAGTATAGTGGTTAAGGGAGCTTGACTGTGATACCGAAGGGCTCGAGTTCGAATCCCGGAGTACACATGGATGTTAAATTGTCTGTCCCGTCATAGGAGGTAACAATGGCAGCCTATTATGTAGCAGTGCCATTATAAGCAAATGCCCGCCATTAGGGGAAAAAATATGCCTGCAGCTGAAGGTCTTGCTCTAGCATTTTCATCATTCTAGGGAATAAGTATCGTTTGTGCCATGAAAATCAAGCACATTAATAATTCAAAGCAAAATATCAGGGTTTAACAAAAGTTTCCTGCCACTGCAAATATCATCTGTACAAGCAGTTCGTGTTGACGTATTTAATCGTATTTTGTCAAACGATTTTTGGCATTTGAAAGAAAGAGATTGCTTTAGAGACTTGTGTTGTCAAATTTGTAAAAAATATAGTTATTATTAAGTACAAGATGTCTGAAATGGAACTATCACAATACCAGATTAGAACCACCATTTACTTTCAGTTCTGTTGCAAAAAGTCAGCTACAGAATGTCACCAAATCATGTACACAGCTTTAGGTACTAATGTTGTATCATATGACACTGTGAAGGTTTGGTACCAAAAGTTCATATTTTAGTCGCGTGTCGGCTGATGGGGCTCTGTGTGCCAACTGTGTCACGTGTGCCATAGGTTCACCTTCACTGAACTAAGTAAACAACTGAATTGAAATGTTTTTCTTCGGCTTTTATAAGCTTTTTAATCCTGCATGAGAACATTCTCATATTTTCTTGATTTTTCTGGATAGCAAGAATACAATTACGAGATATCTAGTTATTAAAATGTTAAATGCGCATGCTCCTGTATTATAGTTTTTCTGGCATAGCTTTAAAAAATGATAAATGATAAATGAATTAATAAATCTTTTAAGTTATTAGGAATTTATTAGCTAATTAGTAAGATGGGGCATTTGCACAGTTTGTCAATGGTTGAAGATGTCTTAGAGTTTCAAGTAATTTTCAACATCCAACTTGCTCTCATATTTGTTTCTCTAAAGCAGTTTAAGATGTAAAATTAATGTCTGAAATTTACCAGGGTGATGCTGACAGCATATTGAGGTTTTTATAGAATACAGTGAATTTTGAACGTTTATAATATACCCATAATGGTGCACTTGCATACATTCTTAGCAATCATGAAATGTTAGTGATGGTCTGACCAAACTTATATCAATCATTTTAATGGAAATTTGAAAGAAGAGATAGCTCTGTATGTAGTTAGATGGTCAGCAGATACAAATTATTTATATGTAAAATATAAAAATATAAAGAAAAATTAAAACTTAATTGGAACAAACTAACAATAGACTTTTAAATTACTAATTTTCTATGAAAGCACAACCACTTCTATTCATCTGCAATTTCTCTGCAGTATCTGCGTTGCTGTAAACTCTTACACAGTTGCTGTATAGGATTAAAACGAAGCACTCTGAAAATTATAAATAGTCTGGCAACGATATACACACTCTTTTTGTGCTGCTTATGCTTGCCAGCTGCAAGATGCATCTTTCTTGGTTGCTTCTATTCATTGTTAAAAATTTAATGTGTTATAATCAAAACTGTGGGAAGTAAATTGGCTCCATGGTGATGTGCCATGTTATGGAGTAATCAACAAATAATAAAGACATGTCTGGATTATCAAATGATTTGCGATTCATCAAAAGTTCCTAACATCTTCTATGTAACTAACATTTCAGTGCTCTTCTAATTTCAATCCACTTGTGACTGAAAAATAATTGATGCTTTCCCTAGTCAAACATTCTTATAATATCAAACAAGAACAGAATTCATTCATCACATATATATCATATAAACATATAAATATGGTCTCCACTTGGTGCCACTGTTTATCCATTTTCAAATAAAGCTCTATATCATGTCAAATAATATAATTTTTTTTTTATGCCAGGTTCCCTTTTCTTTGAAATTATTACTTTTGTTCTGTAGAAGGCAGGTCCCAAATTTTAATAATTTTTTTCCAACATGCATGGGAGAAGCATAGAAGTAGCAGTTAACATGCATCTTTCTATACAAAATTTAAACTAACTCATTGCAGGTTAATCAGGGTTTTGTAAAACCAAGGCAGTGATCTAATTAGTATGTTGCAATGTTGCATATATCCATTATTAGCACAGAATTATACTATTTGGTGACAGTTTTTTTTTTGTCAACTTTATTGAGGAGAAAAAGTACTCCTAAGACATTTTGCTACAAATCTCTAAAGCATGTGTATATCACAAGTTGAGAATCAGTGCATTAGAGTATATTTATGCTTTCAATCATGGATATATTGCTATGATACTTTTTTTTAGAAAATTAAGAAGTGTGTGTAAAATAGTGTTGAAAATTCCTTTCATTATATTCATTTTATTATATGTTATAAAATTATTCTGTTGTTTATTTTTGATATCTTTTTTAGAATGAAAGATTCATCAGTATGTGTACGTTTTAAAATATTCATAACTTTTTTAGGTATATTAATTTACCATCTTTAATTTTCTGATGTAAAATGAATTAAAATTATGTTTTTTATCTTTATTTATCATTTTCTATTTGTGCATTTTTCAGAGCTTTTTTTTATTAACAAAAGTGTTCTTCTTTGTAATTTAAGGATGGCCTGATTGTAGAAAATATGTTTGATGTACCTTATGTTTCTGGTAATCAAGTAGGACATGAAGTGACAGCAGTGATGACTCGTGTGTGCACCGAAGTGAAAAAGACCATTGGTAAAATGCCTTGTGGTGTACAGATTTTATCAGGAAATAATATTGCAGCTACTGCTGTGGCTTTAGCTGCAGGTATGGAATACTTTTTATATTTATATATTCAATTTTAATAATCTGGTACGTATGTATTATCGCAACAACCTTAGTGAATGTTGCTAAATTTTCATTATGTGGCAATTTTGACAACCATAAGCATATAATGTTTCAGTTTTAACAAGCAACATTGCCATTTTCTTATGTGTTCTTTTTTCTGTATTCCATGTTCCATTGGTTTGTATATACAAATTGGGATACTTTTCCATCTTGAACTCACTATTAAAATTTGAACTTGAAGGATTTGCCTATATTGGAAGAAACTGTCATAAAATTTCTGCAAGAATGTGACAGTTTGTTGCAAAATCACTTAAAAAAGACAACTGCATTGAATATAAGTAAAGTGCCACAAAATGTCCACTAGAACAAAGAAACAAAATCTCACTGGTAAGTAGGTTTATTGTTTTCAGGATCAGTACCTAATTAAACCATAAAAATAAATGTAATAACATGTTTATATGCAATAAATAATTTTTTTCAACTATTAAGTCATCATTTTTAGTTCCATGTACACATAAAGGAAATAGTAATCGCGAAAAATTTCGGCTATCATTTCATCCAAAATATCCATCTTGGATGTTCCAGAATCCATTTGTATGATCTTTTTGCATGATGTGTGTACGTATCTACAAAAGAAAGGACTCTTTTTTCTAAAACAGATTATAAAATAGATTTGAAAGGTTTTTCTCCCAAATGTCTGTACATATGTTCCTATGTTTGTAAATATATGTATGCATATATCTTGCATAATTCAAAAATATTTAACCATAGAATGTTGAAATTTTGTATATGGGCTGCTATAAAAGCTAGTTGTGCATCTCCCTTTTTTATTGCGATTGGCAATGCTAAACATATACATACACACACACATATGTCCATATATGTCCACTTCCTTACCCGTCTCAAAAGTCCTTACTCAGCCTTTATTTTCTCAATTATTGATCATATACTTTTAATTACAGGAGTGTTTTAAGTGACAAAAATATTCATGTTTTGTCAATGTTAAATTGGGGGGGAAAAAAAAACTTTTTTTTTTAACAAATAACAAAAATATGTTTGATGTACTTTATGTTTCTGGTTATCAAGTAGGACATAAAGTGACGGCAGTGCTGACTCGTGTGTGCACCGAAGTGAAAAAAACCATCGGTAAAATGCCTTGTGGCGTACAGATTTTATCAGTTAACTTTAAATGTGATCTCCTAGCTTTTATAATTATAATTGGGAAAATTTTTTACTTGTTATGAAAAAATAAAATTATAAGAAGTTTGACTCCCATACAGCAGAAATTGACTGGGATATTTAATTTCAAAATTTACACTTTTTTATGTCGTTTTTAACTTGCCTTGAAGAATTGGTTAATTACGTTAGAATAATTCAAGTAAATAAGTTTATTGAATTGCTGCAAAAAATTTTTATAATTTAATAAGCCATACAAGGAAGGCATGGCAGAGTTTTATTTTTCTGCTGTAAGAAATGGCCAGACTGCACCAAGGCTGTTGCGCTAATACTTAAGTACCTGATAATCATGTAATTAATAAAACATTTTCTCTAATTTAATTGTGCTTATTTATATTCTTCTGTGTTTCCTTGTTTCTAATAAAACACAGAAGTCCTCTGTTGCCCAACATTATTGATCCAAAAATCACACTTTCAATTTTTCTGCTGCCAAAATTATTCAAAAAACATCTTCCATTGGAGAACTGGATTTTTTAGAGGCATTTCACATTCAAAAAAATCTTTCTGTTCTAGTTAACGATCCTAATTCCAATCCGTCTTTGCCTTTGGCCTTTAAAGAAATTATGTTTTAATTCTGGTTTCATCAACAGATGGCACCACTATCTTGTTTTCTGTCCATGCTTTCTTATCTTTATATCCATGCTTTTCTTATCATTATATCATATCTCATTCATTTGCACTTTTGCAGCTGAGGATGGTGGTTCTGTAAAACCATCGAAACTAGTCCTGTGAAAATTTGAAAATATTACGCTGATTTTTGTTGTTTGACTTCTGAATAAGTAGTCTTCTGTTTATGCTACTGTAATCTGTTCTGAGCTGTCCTGATTAGTTGTCGTTTGTGAAGCTCATTTACCATATCATTAGATCTGGGCTAAAATCTGGAAGAATGTGTAGATGTTTATAGTTTTCTGTTCCCTTTCTTATAGATGTGATATCATTGTTCCCCACTGTGCATCTTAACCAATATTTTTAGTGATGAGATGGCAAGTTATTAATGGATTTTATCAATCCTGATGAGTTCTTAACCAACAAATATCTTGCCATTGGATTTAAAATAATAACAACATTAACAGCAGTAATAAATGCTGTTCTAAGGCCTGGAGAGATACGAGTTCCAGTTCCTTACACTATAATTTTTATAAGATATGTTACAAATTAAATGTTTGTTTAGTCGAGAATCTTTCTTTCCTGAGGCCACAGCGATAGTCTCCCATTTTCAAAATTCACCAAATTATCTTTTTCTTCTGTAAGAAATTGCCAAGCTGCTCCAAGGTGGTTGGACTAATATATAAGTACCAAAAAATAATCACATAATATGAATTTCATAACAAAATTGTGTTAAGAAATTAGAAGTAAATGAAGGGGAAGCTACAAAGGAGATTCTTTATCATTATGACAAAGTGCTATCACACATCTCTGCCAAGATAAAAGCCTGCTGTGCTACAGGGTTCCAAATGTTACTTTACACTTCATCATATCTTTCTCTAAATTTTCTGTTTAAAACACGGAAGAAAAAAGCTTCATGGATTTCAAGTGTCGATGATAATACAAAAACTGTCAATGAATTTTTTTTAGAGCATGATGAAGAATGTTTTTGTTGGGATGTAAGTATACTTCAGAAGCTTTGACAGAAGTGCATGACCATGGAGTGGATTATATTTAAAAATAAATTTAAAAATATTTATATATATTTAACAATGTTCACCTCACATTGTTCCTTATGTCCTCATCTTCCTGATCTATACGTTATTATTGTTCAACTGTCACATATATATAAATTTGAATTAGCAATTTTACTTAAACTCAACTTACTTAAACTTATCTTACTAAAAAGCGTTTTTTTTTTTCTTTTTCATAATCCTTACTTCAGGAAAAGTGAAACACTTTCACACTTGTTAATTATTATTGATTGATCAGAAGTTAGTTTGTTCCCCTTGAAAAGTCAATTAATTTCCCGTCAATGACCATGATTATGTAGTTTGTTGATTGCATTTTCACTTTTAATTATACATTTTCAACGTTTCCATTTAAAATTTATTCAATGTACAAATTTTAAATATGCTAATGAGTTGTAAAATTTCAATAGAATTCTAACTACTTTTGTTAAAGGAGATAATATACTAAATAATGTATTAGAAAATAAAATATTATTATATTACTTTGTAGCTTTAGCATAAGTATTAGGCAATTTATTATCATTAATTAAATTGTTTATATATATCTATCTCTCTCTCTCTCTCTCTATATATATATATATATACCCCCATACGTATACTGATGTTCAGAATTATCTTTACATACATAAAAACACTGATTTGTCAAAAACTGTTATAAGGTATTTCCCCCCCCCCTTCTTAGCACGGCTTCATGGTGTAGTGGTCAGCACGTTCGGTATGTGGTTTGAGTCCCGCCAAGGGCATTGCTCATTTTTAGTGACTCCTGCTTTAAAAAAAATCCTAATGTCTTTATACAGTTATAAAATTGAGTGAATTTAATTAAATTGTAACATCATAACACATAAATAGAGATTGATAAATTGAATATGAATGCATAGAGAACAAACTGTATTGAAACAAATAAAACTGGAATAAATATGTTGCATTGAAATAAAAAAAAAATGTGAGTATCTCGGGAACAAATGAAGATTTATAAACATTAGTTGGAAATTGGATCTTTTCTAACTCATACATATATATCAGAGCATGATTTTAAGTTATCAAGAAAGTGATTAATTAGAGTGGGAGTGAGGAGGCTAAGGAGGAGAACTTTGCAAAGTGATATTAAAAGAGTCATTAAGATGGTGTAAACATTAAAGTGAAATTTATTGCAGAACATGAGACAATACTTTTTAAGTAAAATGCCATTCTGAAAATTATAATTTGCATTAAAAGAAAAGAAATTTTTCATTAAAAGGAAATATGCTTAGTTTTTCTGTAAGTTGAAAATCCCTCAATATAGCCAGCTATATATGTGACAGAATCTTAGATTCAAATCAGCAGGCCGTATTTCTCCATGTTAATGAACCATAATTTAGTCACTTTAAGGTTTCCTAATTTTATAATTAATGCAATATTAAAAAAATTAAAATTGCATAAAGCAGAATTATTTATTGAGAAGAGAGAAAAGGGAATAAAGTTTATATATTACATGCATGGTTACATATTTATTTATGTTTGCTAGTTTTGCTGAAAATCAGCTTTTCCATAACTTGAAACTAATATTAATACTAACCATTAAAAAGTCATGATTTTTTTTCACTACAGATATCCTCATGTGAATGCCTCTGACGTAAGTTCTGAAAATAATTATAATTTTAATTTCAAATAGTAAAATCATATATTGAGATTTTATATTATTTAATCATGTTCATTAATCTATAAATTATGGTATTTAATAATTACGTTTGTTAATTTATAAATTAAGATCTAAATTATATCTATGTTATATACACTGTTCAGAAGTTAAGGAACAGCATTTTTTTTTGGTCTAATTTGAGAATGAAGCAACCTAGAAACAAGAAATTTACAGGACCTATTCATTAAACAGTTCTTTAATGAATGCAACATAGAATGTTTCTAATGTTCAACACAAACATAAATTACAACAAAAAATTGCACTCTTGGCAGAGAAATCCAGTCTTGGAGAAACAGTATATCACAGTTTTTTGAGGAAAAATGGGGTGGTAACATTACAAAAATGCATTCTAATAAGGAATGTGCCCACCCCTAGCTGCAATACATTGGCGGCAGCGATGTCCATGCTGTCAATTAAGTTGTCGGTCAATGACATGGGAAGCAACAACAAGACACGGGGTAGTCCTTATTCAATTTTATCTAACAACCTTTGAGGAGGACTTGAAGTAGCAACCTGTCTCCTAAGGTGGTCCCAAAGTTGCTCTATCAGATTCAGGTCTGGGAATTGAGCTGACCATTCCATCTGTTCCATACTGTGACCCTCAAGATGTTCTTCAGCAACCCGAACTCAGTGCAGTCGCACATTGTCATACATCAGAATAAATCCAGGACTAATAGCATTGGCATATGGGCAGACATATTGATCAAGGATCTTGTATCAGTATCTCACACCGGTCAAAGTTCCTCCATAGAACACATGCAGGTCAGTGTGACCATCGAGAGAGATCCCAGCCTAATCCACCATCTCTGTAATTATTATTATTATTCCACCACCTCTGTAACTGTGTCTTTCCACAATCTAGGATTGTTGTATCTGGTTGGTTCATTGTTTCCTCCAGATCAGCTGATGACCTGAATCACTCTCCAGTGTGAACTTGGACATTGTGAAGAGAACCTATACCCATTGTTGACTGGTGCAGTGTTCTCTTGCCCAGCATAAACGGGCACCTCTGTGTCCTTGGGCTGAGGGGACACAAACAACTGGTTGTATTGCATGCAGACCTGTATTGTGCAGGTGCCTCTGCATTTTCGTAACTGAGATTCTTGTTGCTGTTGCCACTAAATGATCTGCCATGAGCTGAGGCACTTACTCCTTCTTCAAGCCGAAAGAGCTAAATAATGGTCTCTCGCAGGTGTTGTAACTCTAGGTCTGCCTGGAACATGTTTTCTAGACACAGAATCCTTGGATTCAAACTGATTGCATAGTTGGTGGACCACACTCATTTCCATCCATCCGATCACCCACCACCTCAAAGAATAGGGCAAACTACTTCTCCTGGGTATTGTCCACAAAACTGTAATAACAACTGAAAATCAATACTCGTGATCAAAAATTACAGTTTTTGCATTTTTTCTCCAACCCCTATATAAATATTCATTTTTATAAAATAAAAGTGGTAGCTATTGTTTTTAAATATTATTAGCCCAAAGGAGTGTTAGTTCAGAAGAGCTATTAATCTCAAAACGGAATTTTGCATAGAATTAGTATAAAAATCTGAATCACTTTTCAAACTGTTGCCACCAAATATTATTACCGTGTATTATATTTAAAGAAATTAAATAATGAAGAATTTGCATGAATGTATGCATCTTTTTTGCATTGTAAAAAAAATGGTAACTAGAGTCATCAAATTTTGAATAACATAGTCCTCCACCTGAATATGGATACCTAAAAGCCCAAATTTTGAATGTCAAATTTGTTTTATTGTGTATTTCATATTTTGTAAAACTTTAATGAATTTTTGATTAACAAATTTAATGATTTCAAAGTGAGCAATGACAACACTGTACGGGGAAAAAACATTGTTATCTCCAGCTTGAGACACTGTCTATCAGAAATTCTAAAGATATACTGTTTTTAAATATTTTTAAACCAAAGGAAAATTAGACCAGAAGCTCTCAAAACGTGTATGTGTATTTAAATGGGGGGAGGGACGCCCCTTTGAGCATAATATAAAGTCTGAAAACTTTCAGAATTTTTAAAATTCATTTAAAAATAAAATAAGTAATCTGTGAAAATCAGGCATTCAGGAAACAATAATTTAAGAATATGTTTTACAGGTTTACAGTTTGCACGTATAGAAGGATTTGTTTTTGCTCATGTAGCTGATGAAGGTTTAATGGAAGCATGTGCTGGTCCTTTGTTACGATATGCAAGAAATATTGGAGCTAGAGATATATTATATTTATGTGATATAAAAAAGAAACATTGGTATGTATATTATATTTATTACATGTTTCCATGTACACTGCTGCCCATTAAACTTGCTATCCCATAAAAGTGTCATGCAACAAACATAAAATATTCATGAAAGATACTACATGCTGGGATATACAAATGATTAGCATTCCAGTGGAAGAGCACAAAGCAGGTATGAGTAACACTTTCTAAATTGTATATAAATAGGAAGATCATGCAATAGGTTTCTCATTTGAAAATAGCATTTGAACTTTTTTTTTTTTTAAGGTTGTGTTATGTCTCTTAATTTCTACTAGCACATGTTGAAATTCATCTGCAGCAGATCATGAACTGGGTATATCAATCTGCGGCATTGTTGCTTATGTTGGTCAGGATCCCATGACTGTCAGGTGAATATGGAATTTGTGGGTCCAAGAGGGTCATACTGAATATCTGAAGGATCTCAGCGGCCCCGGGCTACTAATGCCGGAGGGAACACAGATATGCTGCCTTTTAGGCCTTGCGGAATCATACAGCCATGTCACTTACTCTTAATCAGGAACTTGACTTGTATACAGGATGACGAGTGTCCGCGCAGACAGTGCAGTGATGTATACAGTACCACAGACTGCCAGCACAGTGCCATTGTATGGCTTCCTGTGACACTGAAGCAGAGACAGGTGTACCTACAGTGGTGCAGTGAAAAATGACAAGGGACATCGGAGCACCGTGTTGTCTTTTTAGATAAATCCTGGTTCTGTGTACATCATTATGATGGGTGTATCATGTGTGAGGTTACAAGGCAAATGCACATTGCCATCTTGCATTCGTCATTGTTGTATGAGTACTTGCTGTGCTAGTATGGAGTGCTATTGGGTATAATACATCCTGGTCATCTCTTGTTAACATAGTTGGTAATATGGACAGCCACTGACATATTCCTGATGTATTAAGGCCTTTGGTTGTGCCCAATGTTCAGGGCTTGCATGATCTTTCAATAAAATAATGCATGACCATATGCTACCTGTGCTGTCTTAACCTATTTCAAAACAGAGGGTGTTCAACTGTTGCCTTGGTCAGTATGTTCTCCAAATCATTTGAGACCACTATTGAGACTTGGTCAGGGGTTGCCGAGAGAATCATAGTGGTACACCACTATGATTCATGAAGCCACATGGAAGAAATGCCTGTATCCAGGGCCGAATTAATGTATAAGCTACAGCTTAGGGCCCCACTTTCTTGGCCCCCCCCCAAAATTAAAATATAGTATAAATAGTATTAATTGTATGTATTGCTCTGCCTGAATCTGTCATCGAAACTCAGTTTGACTCAATGCCCAGCTGTTGTTGTTGTTGCCAGAGGTGGCAGTTTTGTCTACTGAATTCTGCATGCTGTATATCCTGAACCACCTGCTAATACGGTAAGATTGTTTTATTGTACCTGAATAAGTAAGATTGTATTATTTGCTTTCCTTCTTGATGTAACAATTTTAATGGGCAACAGTGTAGATAACTAAAATACAGTCAAATCTCTTGTAGTGTTGTGATGGCCCCAACTTATCAGCAACTGTGGTAGGGACTGCTATGAATTGTAAAGTTACACAAACACGTAAGAAGGGTTTTAAAGCTCTTTTTATTCCACTTTAGAAATAACAGCTGCGTTCACTTGACGCTCACAAACTACGCCGACCCGGCGGTTTAACAAAAACAGAAATATGAAACTAAAAATTAATGACAGGATGAGTAAATAACTAGTAGATCACTACTTACGAGGCTCTGAAATCTTAACTAACTTAACCGTGTTCTAAAATACAGCTGAGATTCAGTGAGCTTACTGATTAAGCAGTTGAAATATTCAGCGAACTGCTGAGATAGGCACACAGGCCGAAACGCGCGGTTCTTAAATTTCTACCTAGCAACCTTCACATTAGCGATTCAAGAAGCACACTTACAAACTCGTTTCCCTTCTATTTAAACTCAACTTACTTCTGCTAAAATTTGAATATACTTCACGTTCTACTACAATTTACATACTCTGGCATTGGCAATTCTAGGGGAAAGTAAAGGCTTGACAGGAAAGATAGCTTAAACTTAAAATAAATATAAACCCTACACTCTATTTAACAAAGTTACAGAATCTCATGAAAAACTTCACTAGATGGAGCTTATGATAAAACATAATGTAAGATGAGAATTTTTTTAAATTTAAAATAATAGTAAAAGAAAAAAAATTGCAAAATTGCATATGTTGATGTATCTATTCCATCAAAGCTTCCTAGGCTTAAATTCATTTCGAAAATTTAATCAGTTGATTTTGATTGTCAGGAAACTGCATTTTATATCATAAAAAGTCTCATATCTTTGTAATGTATAGAAAGCGTCTACTGGTACACTTTCTTTATACTGAAATCCATGTCGTAAAGTATCAAATGCATTTAACATATCTGCTAACAAAGATTTTGTACATTAATTTTCATTAACAGTTTCATCTCCTATATCATCAATCACTTTGTTGCTGTTATTTTTTATGCTGTCCAATATGTCCTTATCACCAGGAATTCCTGAGGTCTCAACTTCGTTATCGATAAAAAAATAATCTTGTAGTTGTTCATTGTTCTTTAACTATCTATGATTTTTCAATTGCAGCAAAATATTATTCAGTTCATAATCTTGTTCATTTGTCATCATTGACAGTACAGTTATCGGTAATGTCAATCTTGGTGATTAAGCCAATTTTCTGGATGCAAACAGTTTTTTTCAGTGACATCATAATTCCTTACTTTTGCAAGTTCAGATACGCAGGTGCATACAAATTATTACACATAAAGGGTGGTTAGTTTCAATTCTCATTAGGGTCTTCTTCAAAATGTTTTTGGTATAATGTGTCAAATCACCCCTTGATCCATAGGCTGCAGTTTTGCAGTGGTATTTGGAGGACAGGGGGGAAAACATTTCTATACTAATTTTTGATACCTTGAGGATGAGCAATGCAACTGTCAGTAACTGGAGCAATTTTTCATTTCTATGCAGACATTTATTTATTTAAATTTTTTAGGCACTTTTGAAAAATGGTTGAAATCATCCTAAAGTTCTTGTTGAAATCATAATCTACTTCCAGTGATTTAATACCTCTAGAACATCTTGGGTTTTTACTCTTTCCTATAAGTGAAGGTTTAAATTTTTCATTTTCTTCCATATTTGCACATAACAGTACAGTAACTCTAACTTTGCTGTTCTTACCCTCTAAACATTTCTCTTTTCTGAATATTAAATATTCTCTGAAGTATATGTTGATAAAATAGGCCAATTTTTTCAGCATTGAAAATATCTTTTGGCTTGTATATGTCGATGATTTCTTTTAGCTTTTGATCTTTTAGATTCGACATAAACATCTTCATTAATATCTTTCCTCACCACATATGATTTTTGAAACTACTCCATGACTTTTCTTTTGAATTTCTCCAGCTATCCATTGCTGACATGAAACTTACTTTGTTCTAAAGCTTCAGCAAACTTTGTAGTATTAGTGACCTTGATACCAGTATATTTTTGTATCTCTCACTGCACAGAGCCATTTTAATGTTGCTTCATGAATATTTTCATAAATGCATATTTTCTTATGTTTGGTACTTGTATCAGTGGAATCAAAGCTTGACAAAATTTTGTCTCAATTTTTCAGGATTGCGGATAAACTATTTTGCAAAATACCAAATTTTATGACAATGTCTTTCTTCTTTACCTTTATGCACTTTTTCTTTAAGTGTTAGGCACTTTTGTTTCAACATTTTTAATCATTCATTACACATCTAAATTAAAAAAAATATTTACAATGTAAAAAAACAAAAAGCAGAAATATAAATAACATGCTACTTTTACTTAACCTTAAATTGGTTTGGGAAAACAGGATTAGTTGGAGAATTTTTAATAATAGGGTAGTAAATGCTTTCTCATTGGAGAATTTGCCTTTGAGAATGAAATCTTGCAGAATGAAATGTAACTATAGATAATGAGCCACATGCTTTTTTTCTTTTAGGATCTTAGCACCTCTGTGTCACAGTAAATAATTAAGTAATTTTAAAGTAGAAAGAAAATCTTGAAAAAAAAAATCATCCATTCAAAACCTTCATTAAATTTGGAGTTTTTTAATACATGGAAATTCAAACTTGGGCATAATCCCATAAAAAATTTTGCAAAATAGAGTGTTCGTTACATAGAGGTTTGACAATAATAGTAAATTTATAAGATCATATGTTTTTAATCTAATATTCCATTTTCTAGCATTCATTCAAATAATCCTAATTTTTTTATTGCTGTGTATTGATGATCTAAAATGATCTCAGAAGTCAATAGTTGAAACAGAGTAAAAACTCATTTAACCAAAAAGCTTTGCAAGTACCGAATTCCCGATAACTGAGCCTGTAAGAAATGAAATTCACATTGGAAATGCCAAATCAATAGAGAATATTTTCCAGTCGAAAATTATAAAAAATTTCACCTTATTATTACCGCTTGAACATCAAAAGCCTACATTTAAAATTTTATATAAGATTTTAAAAAAAAATACCACATTTTAATCATAAAAGCTGGTATATTTTGATATAAGCTTAAACTTCTTCAATGTTCAGACAGCCCAGGATGGGCCCTTGCCTTCCTCAGAAACAAATTCCAAGCTCTTCTATCTGAGGTCATGGTCATTCATTTGGTTATTTTTAAAATTCTCAAAGTCTGTTTCCAAACGGTCGAGCCACCTAAGTTTAGGTCTCCCTCTTTTTCGGGTGCCGAAAGGTCTGGCCGAAAAGATCTTTTTAGTTACTCTATTTTCATCCATTGTGCACAGGTGTCTTGTCCATTTAATTCTCTGAATCCTTATATATTTTACTATATCTATTTCTTTAAAAAATGTATAGAGTTAGTTCTTCTCGAGATATATAAGTTTAAACATGAAAGTAAAATATCTGTTCCCGATAACTGATGAAATCGGTTATGAAATCTTGCCGAGCATGAAAGCTGGTGGAGATGTCAGCAATCATTCTG